TTAACATCTGCTACATACATGAACCTTCATCCATAAAAATTGAAAATTAAAAACCCACGACGAAAAAGTTAGCCTTGAGTAGTTTAAAAAGAGGAAAATAAAAGCTAAAAATTTTAATTAGATGAATTTTGGAGAAACTGAAATTTCTTTTGTAACAGAAGAAACACGTAGACACATAGAGTCACGAAAATATTGGTGTTCCCCCGACTTTTTTCTGCTGTTTCCCCTGTTACAAAGGAAATTTTAGTTTTTCAAAAATTCGTCTAATTAAAATTTTGAGTTTTTATTTTCTTCTTTTTAAACTACTCAAGGATAACTTTTTCGTCAGGGGTTTTTAATTTTCAATTTTTCTGTTTTTCAGTTTTTAATTAAGTCAATTGGCAACTTTTTCTTGGGGGGTTTTTAATTTTCAATTTTGTCATATTCTACATGGCTATTTCCATATATTTGTTAAGGAATTATTATAATATTGACAAATTGTTGTAGGGACAAGGAGTGGAATTTTCAGTACGATGATTTTCACAATGTTAATAATCTGTTTTACCACGTGAGTGACTGCTACCGCCACCATCGGAACGAATGTGACCTACATGCTGCCTGACATGATTTTAGGGGTTTCACCAGCCGCTGTTTACCCCAAAGAGGATAGACTAAAGTAGAGGCTCAGATTTCGGGGTTCAGGTGACCCCAAGCCAAAAATAGTATGACCCCAACGGAGGGATGGCGCCAGGGTCGAATCTGACCGCTGGGCGAGCTGCCTGTGCCGGTAACTCGGCAGCAGCAGTCCCGCTGTTACAGGAATAGTTTCGGAGGGGAACTTACGCCCTCCTCGTCCTCAACATGTTCTTAATGTTTTTCAGGTGATTCATTTGCTGGCTAATTAATATTAAGGAATGAAACTGTATTGAGGTGAAGGTTGAATATTCGCGCCCTAAAATAAAGTCGCATTTGACTTTGGTAGTCAGAATCAAATCATACGTAAATCAAAATATTTGGGAAACTGGTGAGTAGTCCGCGCGGTCTCGTTTTTCGGCCTCTAGCCTGGAACGTGTCTACATCACCACGCTGTCCCGTATCGTTCTATCTGTGAGGTTTGAGTTGACGGTTGGATTCATCGACGCTGATCTCTCCTGATCAAGGGCACCTATTATTCCAAGAGTTTTGGAACTAGCAGGCCACTAGATTCCGGTGACGATTGGAGATGACCGGATGGTAGAGATCTTTATCCTGACACAGATGAGGGCACAAAATTTTCTCCTCTGGATCGAGGGATCACGGTGACGCGGTGGGACGCGTCGGAGCATCGTTGGATTATACGCCAACACTGGGCGCTTGGGCAATCCGCTCGGGCAGTTGCAGACGAATTCATCTAGTCAATTTATTTATGGAGGAATCGCAGATAAGTTTTTGAACATTTATTGGCATCATTAGTGAGAGAAGTTAGGGGACCGAAATTTTTTGTTTAACTGAGAACGACATTGAGAAGGGAAGGAACGATCCTCAGAAGAGCGAATTACGTATAAGAGGTTCTTGAATTGAAAAGTACTGTTGTACGAATGGATGAATGGGTAATGAGATCATTGGGATTGTTATACGATCTTTATTTGTCATTATTATAATTGTTTGAGTCACGCACGGTTGATCAGATGATTATGTCCATGAAGAGCCAATAATTTTAATTATCAATTGAACTATAAATATACAAGACTCAGAAATTAATTACTTGATTGGAATTATTCCGGTAAAATTCAACCCATTAGAATAACTCTCATCATAACCGTTTTATTTCGATTCTCACGTAAGCACAAGTTGTATCTCTTATTTTATTTTTCTTGCCGAATTTCTTCTCGTTCGTATCGCACAATCATTTAAGTATTTCAAAACACAGACGGTGTAATGGAGAATTAAATTCCCCATCAATCGATCCCCGTTGCATCCCTTAATCTCTGTAAAAAATGGAAGAAACTGTCATGAATATCACAGCGCAGTAAGAAAAATAATTGTTTTGCGGCGCACAGTGACTCCCAGTAATGAAAAATTCACCTCTCCGCTAAAAATTCACTTCTCCCCTCCTAATTGAAATGTCATGGGCCAAAAAAGGCTGTTTGACGGAGAACTAAATTACCCATCCAGTAACCTTCTTTCATCCATTAATCTCTGTTAAAAATGGAAGAAACTGTCATGAATATCACAGCGCAGTAAGAAAAATAATTGTTTTGCGGCGCACAGTGACTCCCAGTAATGAAAAATTCACCTCTCCGCTAAAAATTCACTTCTCCCCTCCTAATTGAGATTAAGGGATGAAAAAAGGGCTGTTCGACGGAGAATTAAATTCCCCATCAATTAACCCTCTTTCATCCCTTAATCTCTATAATAAAAAGATGAAAACTGCCATGAAAGTATGGGCCACTAAGAAAAATAATTGTTTCGCGCCGCACAGTGACTGTTCACCATTCGCCCGCGAATTAAAAATTTGTCTCTCTCCTCCTAATTGAAATTAAAGGATGAAAAAAAGGGCTGTTCGACGGAGAATTAAATTCTCCATCAACTGACCTTCTTTCATCCCTTAATCTCTGCAACAAAAAAATAAAAACTGCCATGAAAGTCATGGGCCAGTAAGAAAAATCATTGTTTAATTCGCCCGCAAATTAAAAATTCACTTCTCCCCTCTTAATTGAGATTAAGGGATGAAAAAAAGCCAGTTCGACAGAGAATTAAATTCTCCATCAACTGACCTTCTTTCATCCCTTAATCTCTGCAACAAAAAAATAAAAACTGCCATGAAAGTCATGGGCCAGTAAGAAAAATCATTGTTTAATTCGCCCGCAAATTAAAAATTCACTTCTCCCCTCTTAATTGAGATTAAGGGATGAAAAAAAGCCAGTTCGACAGAGAATTAAATTCTCCATCAATTAACCCTCTTTCATCCCTTAATCTCCGTAACAAAAAAATAAAAACTACCATGAAAGTCATGGGTCAGTAAGGAAAATAATTGTTTCGCTGCGCACGGTGACTTTTCACCATTCGCCTCCGAATTAAAAATTCACCTCTCCCCTCCTAATTGAGATTAAGAGATGAAAAAAGAACTGTTTGACGGAGAATTAAATTCTCCATCAACTGACTCTCTTTCATCCCTCAATCTCTGTAACAGAAAAATAACCACTGCGATGGAAGTCACAGCGCACTGAAAAACCTAATGGTTTCTCGGCGCAGAGTGACTCCCGATAATTTGCCCGCGGAATTAATTTTTGTCTCTACCCTCCTAATTAAAATTAAGGAATTAAACAGAGACTGCTCGACGGAGAATCAAATTCGCCATCCATCAACTTCCGTTTCATCCCTTAATCTCTATAAGAAAAAAATAAAAACTGCGACGAAAGTCACAGCGCTGAGGGAAGTCAAAACGAAACTTGTATTTTTTCACTCTACTCTAGTTCAATTGCTATGTCATTTTTACTGGGCACCGTCTCTTGTTTTGGAAACCCGACGAATGCTGCGAATTTTGCAGGCGTCGAAACTGCAAAAAACCGAACAGAATCGAAAAATAACTGTCGCAGATCTCAGTTGTTCTTTTACTCTGGTGAGAGAAACATCAGCTCAAAAGAGTGATTCAATTTCTTTACTTTATTTTGCGACTCTCAGTCAATTGTTGAAGCTTTACGGCGTCACTTGTTAATTTGTGAAAGTGCTAATTAGCGTATCAGCGAATTAACGATGCCCTCGTGTAATAATTGCGTTTCTCGTGGGTGTGGAAACAATTCGCGCAAGAATAAGAGTGTGATTTTCTACTGCGTGAGGTAATTTATTTATATTTATTGTGAACAATGGGGCGACAAATATTGCTAAAAATGTCGGTCATGGAATATGTTCGGTTTTTGCTATGAAATGCAAGTCGCAAAAAATGGTTCTATGGCTTACGAGGGGGAGGTGAAATTTCACGATTGACAAGTTGGAGAGGGTCGCGAGGCTCATGAGTTGGAAGAAAGATATCAGGGAAAAGAAAAGGCTCATGACGGGGAGGGAAAATATCACGAGTGTAACGCTGATCACGGAGGGAAGTCACATTTTCATGAGGGACAAGCTCAAGAGGGTTACGTCGCTCACCAGAGGCGGGGGGATGTAGCGCCTCGCTACACAAACCCCAACGCGTTACACACGCACGGATACGACAACGCTGAGAGACGACTGGACATCGGTGACATCATCGCGCTCTGTCACGCGCCCAGTATAAAATACCTCTCGCTCGCACCTATTGTCATGCGTATCCAAATTTCCGTCTTACGCGGTTTAAGACAGTCAGTAGAGTCTAACACTGACCTCCGATCAGATCACTCTGATTATTCTTTCTCTTTTGTATATATTCTAAACGTCTCGATTAAACTGTAATTTATATTCTGAATTACATTTGTTAGTGAATTGTTACATCCCTCAACAACCTCAATTCCTACATTGGTGACCCCGACGTGATCTAATTAGGGAAATTCGACGTTTTAAACGACAAAAGTGAAAACCCTCGCGACTCGCGCGCGTGCAGTGCAACTGAAAAATTCATTCTCTCGTCCACGCGTTCTCATCCGTTTCTCCGGACAACACGCGCGACTCAGTTTTTCAAGTGCTGCAGTGAATCTCGCGAGTGCATTCTAGTTAACTGGCGCGCTTCTGAAAATAATTAATTTCGTTATGTGACCCTCGCTTCGGTTTTTGAACGACGGCGTCTCGAGATTTCTAGAACATTCCAACCGTCCGAGCGTCAAGACCTTGGTTTCCCATTGTTCTCGCGGAACCAAAATAAACCGAATAAAAGTGATATCCGAGTGAATATTTGTGACCTCGCGCCGACACATTGCCGAACACCCATAGACGTTGTGTTGTGTTGGTGACAAATAGAGACTACAACAGCCTTTATTTTTCTCACAAATTTATTCCTTAGGTTTAATCGCGCTGTGAAGTAAAATTCATCGATTTTATTTCTCTCTGAAATAAAATAAAATAAAATCGACATGGCAACAGCAGCAGCTGACATCCAAACAACTCCCACTGTAATGACAGCAACGGCTACAATGAGGCCCAGGCTCATCGCAAGGCCCTTCGACGCGGACAAACCCGCGCTATGGTTCGCGCAGCTGGAGACACAGTTCGCTGACCTGGGATACGTCACCGAGTCAGATAAGTACAACAAGACGGTACCGCTGATCGACACTGCTTACGCCGCAGAAGTCGAACATTTAATTGTCTCCAGACCTGTAACAAATCCATACCAAACATTAAAAAACGAACTAATCAGATGTTTCACAAAATCGAGAACTGCGAACATCATCCAATTGCTCGACAGGGAGAGCATTGGGGATCGAACTCCGTCGAAGCACCTGAGACATTTAAAAAGTCTTGTTCCAGGCATTGACGACGAGGTCCTGAAAACGCGCTGGTTGTCTCATCTCCCCGAGCAAACGCGAGCTACACTCGCTACCCAGGAGAACGCTTCCATTGATGATCTCGCGAAGCTAGCAGACAGGGTGCATGAGGTATTTCACCCAAACAGCGTCGCAGCGATCATCACCTCAGCAGGCAACGCGACCAACGCAGCACTCCTCGAGCGAATCGAACAGCTGACGGCAACTGTCGCAGAGTTACGGTTGAAAGACTCACGCTCGCGCTCACGCACACGTTCAGAGTACTCACGTGGGCAGCGCAACAACTCACGCCGACGCTGCAGCTCCAGGAAAGTATTAAAGAAATTTGACACCTGCTGGTATCATCACAGTTACGGCGAAAATGCGCGTAACTGCCAACCTGGTTGTAAGTTTCAGAAAAACTCCAACGAGAGACAATAGTGGCGGAAGTCGTCTCTCATACTAAATCCCGCCGCCTATTCGTAGTAGGCAGAACGACTGGGACCCAATACCTTGTGGACACAGGCTCAAACGTCTCTGTCACGCCTTGCAGGCGGCCAGCAAAACAGAAGGACACCAGCGGCTATCAACTCTTCGCAGCCAATGGAACCCTCATCAATACGTATGGATATGCATCTATCTCGCCAGATCTCGGTCTCCGCAGAGAGTTCACATGGCGTTTCATCGAGGCAGATGTCAGTCGACCTATTATCGGTGCTGATTTTCTCCATCATTACAACCTGTTACCTGATTTGAGGAACGAATGCCTCATCGACAGCTCAACGGGTCTCAAATCAACAGGCCGGTTCACAAGATTCCGCGTTATGTCTGTCAAGCTCCTCGAGATCAACGAGAATTCACCGTACGCGTCGATCCTCAAAGAGTTCCCAGCAATAACAAAACCGGGAGGATTGCTCAGAAAAGCGGAGCACTCCACCGTTCATCACATACGGACAACACCAGGACCACCAATCTCCTGCAGAGCTCGCCGCCTAGCGCCGGATAAACTCAAAACCGCTCAAGCGGAGTTCTCCAGCATGCTGACGCTCGGAACCGCGAGGAGATCTGAAAGTCCCTGGGCATCCGCGCTCCACCTAGCTCCTAAGGGCAACAACGGATGGAGGCCATGCGGTGATTACCGCACACTCAACGACAGGACAATACCAGATAAGTATCCTGTTCATTATCTAGAAGACTTTGCTGCCAACCTTTATGGCAAAACAATCTTTTCCACGATAGATTTGGTTAAAGCCTTTAACCAAATTCCAGTGGCACGCGAAGACATCCAGAAAACGCCAATAATCACGCCATTCGGACGCTTCGAATTCCCATACAGGACATTTGGCCTCAGAAACGCAGCTCAGACATTCCAACGTCTGATCGACGAGGTCACACGCGATCTACCATTTTTGTTCCCGTACATAGACGACATCTTGGTAGCATCGGAAGACGCGGAGCAACATCGCGAGCACCTGAGGATCCTCTTCCAACGACTCCAGGACTACGGGCTGATAATCAACGTCGCCAAATCAGTCCTCGGACAGCCAGAGGTACTTTTCCTCGGACACGTGATCAATGCTCAAGGAATTAAACCCCCGAAGGATCGAGTCAACGCGATCCTGGAGTTCACAAGGCCAACAACGGTTAAATCGCTACGCAGATACCTCGGAACTCTAAATTTCTACCGGAAGTTCATCAAAGGAGCAGCAGAAATCCTCGCCCCGCTGAACGCCGCGACTCAGGGGACGAACGTCAAGGGAAGACAACCAGTAGCCTGGTCTCCAGCCCTTGAAGAAGCATTCACGCGCAGCAAGCAAGCGCTAGCAGAAGCCACTCTGTTGTCTCATCCAAATATCGAGGCAGAGTGGGCTATCTTCACAGACGCGTCGGATCACGCGATCGGCGCCGTTCTACAGCAGTGATAATTTTCACCGATCACAAACCGCTGACTCACGCGTTCCAACAGAAACCGGAACGAGCTTCACCCTGGCATTACAGGAGACTGGACTACATCGCCCAGTTTTCCACGGACATCAGATACGTCGCGGGCCCAGACAACGTGGTGGCAGACGCCCTATCACGAGTAGAGAAAATCACGACTGCCGTCACACCTCAGCAGCTGGTAGATGCCCAACGTGACGATCAAGAACTCCGACAATTACTTCAGCGACCGGACGTGAACCTGCGACTGGACCGCTTACAACTCCCAGGAATGGACGAACCACTGTACTGTGATGTATCATCAGGTACAGTTCGCCCATACGTTCCTGCTCCGCTGAGACAACAGTTCTGCAGCTCACTGCACTCAATGGCTCATCCTGGACCCAAAGGCACGCGAAAACTCGTGACACAACGCTACGTGTGGCCTGGCATAAACAAAGACTGTCCCCAATGGACCAAACACTGCCTGGAGTGCCAGAAAAACAAGATAACGCGACACGCGGTCACACCTACAGCTAACATCGAGACACCATCACGATGATTCGAACACATACACGTCGATTTAGTCTCTCCTCTTGCCTCAAAAGGACACAGCTGGTGCTTGATCATCGTCGACAGATTTACGCGATACCCAGAAGCAGTTCCACTGGTCGACTCGAGGATGCCGACAGTAGTAAATGCGATTCTTTATCACTGGATNGCTGGAACGCGCGCTTCGGCATCCCCCTGAGAATTACATCTGACCAGGGCGGTCAATTCTTCTCAGACACCTTCAAGGAGCTTACGCGAATTCTGGGCACCGAGAGGTTGATGACGACGCCATTTCATCCTCAATCAAACGGCATGGTTGAGAGAATACATCGCCAAATGAAAGCAGCACTGCGATGTCATGGCGAAGCTTGGTACGACGCACTTCCCCTGGTACTTCTAGGGTTGAGATTCGCGTGGAAAGAGGAACTTCAAACGACTCCCGCCGAGCTAACATACGGGGAACCGATCCGCCTACCCGGAGAATTCCTCATCCCATCGAACCAACGAGCAGCAGCACCGGAATTGGTGAGAAATCTACGCGAGCATTTCCGCAGGATCGCACCGACTCCCGCTGCACGTCACGGTACACGTTCAACTTTCATCTTCAAGGATCTAGCGACGTGTACACATGTTTTTGTCCGCGATGACCACGTGCGAATGGCATACCGATCACCATACATCGGCCCATGCCGCGTAATCAGTCGTCATGACAAATACTTCGTCATTTGGTATAAGTCCGGAGGATTGGGTAACTACAAGAATACACCGATCTCCATCGACCGATTGAAACCAGCGTACATACTGCCGGAGGACATGGACCAGGTCCAAGGACAGCCTCCACCGCCAGACGTTCCAGAAGAGCCTCAACAACAACAGAATCAGCCACAGCCGAGCACGAGCACGGCGAACAGGACTCAGAGGCCGAGGAGACGCGTAAACTTCGCGAACAGACCGACAATCCACGTCTATACTGTCTAAATTTCCTCATCAAAAAATTTTTTTTTCACCTGCTTAATATATTTCACCTGTTCCGAGATTAATTTTTTTTCTGTTGCAGTGCTGAAAAACTACCTTTTTCACTTAAGCAGGGGAGTCATGTAGCGCCTCGCTACACAAACACCAACGCGTAACACACGCACGGATACGACAACGCTGAGAGACGACTGGACATCGGTGACATCATCGCGCTCTGTCACACGCCCAGTATAAAATACCTCTCGCTCGCACCTATTGTCATGCGTATCCAAATTCCCGTCTTACGCGGTTTAAGACAGTCAGTAGAGTCTAACACTGACCTCCGATCAGATCACTCTGATTATTCTTTCTTTTTTGTATATATTCTAAACGTCTCGATTAAACTGTAATTTATATTCTGAATTACATTTGTTAGTGAATTGTTACATCCCTCAACAACCTCAATTCCTACAGGGGGGGGGGCGGCGGCGGGCGGGAGGAATACAACGAGAGTGAAGAAGCTCACGAAGGGGAGGTAAAATCTCTCGAGGGTTTTAAGGCTAATGAAAGGCAACTAAAATTTCACGATGGACAAGCTTACGAGAGTCACGGGACACCTGAGTGGGAGAGAAGATACAACGAAGGTGAAGGCAGTCATTAAGGGGAGGAAAAATTTCTAGCGATCCTTGTGGAATTTTTCCTTTTTCTTGTTAGCCTCGTTCCACTCGTGATATTTTCCCTCGCCCTCATGAGCCTCGTAACTTTCGTGAACTTGCTCCTCGTGAAAATGTCAATTCTGTTCGTGATCTCCGTTACACTCGTGGTATTTTCCCTCCCCCTCATGAGCCTCTTCACTCTCCCTATATTTTCCCTCCTCCACGGGAGTCTCGTGGCCCTCGTTAGCTTGTTCCTCGCGAAATTTCAACTCGCCCTCATTAGCCTGGTAACCCTCGCGAAATTTCTGCTCCCTCTTGTAAGTTTCGTAACCATCGCGAAATTTTTGTTCCCTTTCGAAAAATTCGTAAACCTCGGGAAATTTATTCCCCTCTCGTGAGCCTGGTTATCATTGTAAGCTGATGCCGTGTGGAATTTTGACTTCTAACGTTCAGTTTCCTGGCTGGGGGCTCCGGGATTTTTCTGCTCTAGAAAATTTGAATGTTCGTTTTCTCCCCAAAATTTTTTTTTCAATTTTTTTTTTTACCAGAGCAGTGACACTGAATGGGGTTTAGGCGTAAGAGCATCATGAAATTCCAGAATTTTAGCCGAAAAGAATAGGGCTCAAAAGTGCAAAATGACCGCTTTTCAACTGTCAATAACTCTCGAACGGCAGGATGACAATTCTGTTTTTATTTTTCATTTTCAAGCTGATTTTTTAAACTTTGAGCGGGGCCCTGATCCATCCAAACGGATCATTCTATCGAGACATATCCACATTCAAAGATGCGCCGTTTTACCCCACTCTGCCCCATTCTTCGAATGTTCATCCATTTTCCTCTCAGTTTGGATAGTCCGAAGTCTATTTCGCGATTATTCATCGCTTCGTGATTCTGATGGACTCCCGGTCATCGAGACTTTTCGCGGTTTTTAGTCCAGAACTGTGGATAGATTACATCGGCAACGAGGAACTCCGCAATCTGACTCCCAGCCAACTACGAGAGCGTCGCATTTGTTCCGCTCATTTTCAGGACTCCGATTATACTTTTGTCGGACCGTCGAAGAAGAAGCGGGTCAAAAACGGGGCGACACCATTAGATGTAAGAAACACAGAAGGAAATCCCATTCCAGCTTTATCAGATGATAATTCCAATAGTCAGAACGCGAGTTTTGCTCTCCGGGAAGAGCAGCGCAACGCTCATCCTGACAATGTGAAGTTTAATGAAGCGTTGAAGCGAGAATTGAACGAAGTATATGCGAAACTCGGAAATCAAAATTCCCAACTGGAAAATCAACGCATAGAACTAAAAAATCCACGCGTAGAACAACGCGTACATTACAACAAACAACGAAAAACGATTGAACTTTTACAGCGAAGAATTACGCGTAGAAAGACATCCAAACAGAAACTCAAAAAATTATGGATAGATGAAATCGTTGAAGCTGCCGGCCAGCATTTAAATGATGAGGAGCTCCGTACGGTGAAGATGACCACGTTCGTGGGTGAAAGATGAGCAGGAACTCGCGTTACAGATTTATGCTCGGGGGTCTAGAGTTTATCGGTTTTTAAGAAAGAAGAAGGTGATGAAGTTACCGTGCCTTACGTTAGTTAGAAAATGGATGAACGAGATGATAATTACCCCGGGATTCAATCCAGCTGTTTTCGCGAAATTAAGGGAAAGAGTTCAAAATCTTGAGGATTTTGCAAAAGATTGTGTACTCATGTGGGATGAAATGTCGATAAGGGAATTATTAGAATATGACTCGTTTTGAGGATTGGGGGGATTACGGTAGATCAAATAAGATCGGCAACCACGCGTTAGTATTCGTTATTCGCGGAATACGATCAGATTGGAAAGAACCGATTGCTTATTTCATTTCCAATGGTACCGTTCGCAGTGAAATCCTCAAGTGCATGATTGATGAGGCTATACATTGCGTCTTCGAGGTCGGTCTTCGAATAAGACTGTGTGTGCGATCAAGCACAAACAAATGTAAGGGCGATACGCAGTTTAATCACGAAGCCTCCTGCAAAAGATACCGGGACGTCAGAGGAGGAGCCACCTTATTATTTGTTCGAAGGTTACAAGATCTACTTCGCGTTCGATATTCCTCATCTTCTTAAAGGGTTACGGAATAATCTCTTCATGAAGAATTATTTGCTTCCACAGGTGAATTCTCGCTCTGATTTAAGCCCTCACAAAGGCAAAGGAAGTGATCCTGACAGGATACATGGTCTCTCCGATGAAGAAACCTTTTCTGATGGACAAGGCACTATTTTCGAAGATGAGCTGTTCCTTGAATAGGAGGGAATTCTTTTCGACAAAGAAATGTTTTCTGGGGAGACGGGTATTCCTTCTGACCAAGGTCGGCTAGTCTCGGACATGGAGGCTGAAATTCCTGCAGCACAAATTTCTTGGGCGGCAATAAGAAAGCTTCGCGATTTAGAGAAAACATGTGTTGTTCGGGCAGCTCCGAAACTGACTGACAGACATGTTCACCTAAACCGTTTTTCGAAAATGAATGTTTCACTGACGGTACAAATTTTTTGTCATTCAGTAGCACAAGCTTTGCACACTGGTCACGTGACTGGTGAATTGAAACATCCGTCGTGTTCTCCAACTGCCGATTTCATCGAGAAAGTTAATAGACTTGTTGATTGCCTCAATTCACAAACTCATCATGATTCGAATCTATATCGACGTGGGCTATCGGTTAACGACACGCATGTAGAAAACAGTTTGAAAACAGCTCTAGATTGGCTCAGTAAATTGAAGGTTAAGGATGGAAACAATCCTCCCACATTTGAAAATTTCATATTTATGATCAGGAGCAACCTAGCTCTATGGAACGATCTCCAAGAAGAAGGTGTACCGTATCTTGTCAATGGGCATCTGAACCAAGATCCAATCGAAAATTTGTTCGGTTATTGGCGTTCTCAGTGGGGGACTAACGTGAATCCGTCGGCCAAACAGATACGATTTTGCGCGCAACGATCTATGTTCCTCGAAATTGTCATATCACCTCCGAAGGGTGCGAATTGTGAAGCTCATCAGACTACTTGTTTATTGAGCGATGGAGAAACAACGTTGAGTGTGACGAGTACGCCATCATTCAATAAACAAGATGGCGGAAATGAAGCTTTACCAACTCCAGACGACACGGAGGACGATTTCAAGTTCGAACCTGTTCAAATAACTATGAATGATATTAAAGTTTCAGGTGAACGCGTCTCCCTTAAGGAAAATTCAATTCGATACGTAGCTGGTTGTATCGCGCAGAAATGTTTTAAGAAGTTCCAATGCGAGAATTGTCAATGTTTCATGGTAAAGGGTAGCAAGCAGCTCGATATTCCGAATGAAACGTTGATATTCTGGAGAGCTTACGAAAGTAAAGAGGNGT